GACCGAGGCAGAGTCGTTGGCAGAAAGATGGTTTTGCATCTTCTAAGAGTACAGTCGTTTAAAGCTCCGGCAGCCCTTGCTAAACTTGGGTTTTGCATCTTTGAATCTGCATTTATCTCCGCTCCTGAAGGCCTCTTCCTTGTCCAATCTTAGTCTTCTGAGCTTGCCAGTGAACCAGGGTTTATCATTATTGTAATTCACCCTGGTTCGTGTTGGAATACAGCAGTCCTCACAGAAGCTGATGTATGATGTCACAGCCTCTGTGAACTCATCCAGACTGTTGGTAGCAGCCCTGAAGACGTCCCAGTCAGTAGAACCCAAACACGCCTGAAGATCCTCCACAGCCTCACTGGTCCAACTCTTTGATTTCCTCACCACAGGTTTGCAGAGCTTTAGTTTCTGTCTGTAAGCAGGAATCAGGTGGACCATGACGTGGTCTGATTGGCCCAGTGCAGCACGGGGGACAGCATGATAAGCATCCCTGATGGTGGTGTAACAGTGATCCAGAATGTTACCCTCTCTGGTCGGACATTTAATAAACTGTCTGTATTTAGGAAGATCATGACTGAGGTTACCTTTATCAAAGTCACCAAGGACAATAACTAAGGAGTCCGGGTTGCTCCGCTCCACACTCAGTATCTGATCACCGAGCGTGCGCTGTGCGTCCTGCACGTTTGCATGCGGCGCGATGTAGACATCGACCAGAATGAATGAAATTCATTTTCCTCCTCTATATTAAAAAGTATATTCTTTTACCTTTTTCTTCAAATATATTTAAGTTTGTGCTACATTTCATGTCTATTCATTTCATGCCACAAAGCCATTCCACAGCTACACACACACATACTTCTACTCCAGAGGAGATCCAAACCACAGAAATAAAAAGAATGGGATCTGTAAAATGCAGTATGAAAAAACAGCATGTTGTAACACTCAATCTGAAAAAGATAATTTTGAAAAAATAAGATATGAAAGAAAATAGTAGGAAACAGTAGAAACTTTTTTTTGATTTAGAAAGATTTTAAGGTTTTATTTCTGGATTATATATTTTGTTTTCAAATTTCCATTTACAAAACTTGTTCTTTGCTCAGAACATAATAATAATAAAGATAATAATAAAGACAAACAGAATAAAGATTAAACATTTTGCCCTTTTTAAGAGCTACTTAAAAATGTTAACTTTGCAATATCTGTAACTAAAACCTGTAGGGCATTTATCAATTTTGGTTTAATGTGTCAGCCTAAAATTATAAGAAGCCCCCATCTGGTCACTATGGATACGCCCATGTGATGGACTAGTTAGGATTCACAAGTCAACAAACCAATGCATAAACAAACAGCATTTTTTTTTCTCTTATGAGCAGAGAACAAGCTCTACATTGATTCTCTAAGGTGTTAATAATTCAGGAGAGAAACGCAGAGGGAGTGCCTGTTTCCCTTATGATCACTGTGCAGTTTCCATGATAGAACATATAGCACTCCCAGGAGGGGGTGGTGGCTGAGGGGGAGAGTCTGTGTTCATCACCAACAGATGGCACATCTCTAAAAATTGATTAAATAGAAAATCAAAAGCTTCTTCTTCTTCACAGGCCAATGAATGGATGGTGTTTTGTTGGCCCCTGCGGGATCCCTATGAATCTACCAGCATCAGCTGACTGATGTGTGTCAGAGATCTACGACCCTCTCCTCTCATCAGCACCACCCTCATTACCCATCACTTTGCTCCGTCAAAAGCGCATCAATACCATGACACAGGAAGTCTGTTAATGTCCTGCTTAATTAACTGGACCAATCAGGAGATGAGTTATAAATGGATTTGTTATAAATAATCTAGAGTGAATAAGTAATCACGTTCCTATGGAAACTGTTGTAATTTTAAGTGCAATCTGATTCATAAAATTAGGTAAAATGTGTATATTTTTTGATAGCTTGGCTTTATTTTTTTAAACAGCCCCGGAAATGAGCTCCTGGAGCCTGCGTTACCTTGACAACCGCCCAGCCTCCTCTCCCTCAGGATGACTGGGAGTGACGCAGGGCAGACGGAAAAAACAGGGTCTTGAATGGAAGCAGGGGATGCTGGAAGGACTTTATCCTGAATTTATTTCTCCGGTTTAAGATCGGATGCACGGCCTGGCCCTGCGCCCAGAGAACATGCCCGTTACCTGTGGGAAGGCTTTTCCTGGGACCGATCAGTAGGAAACCATCGCCTCATCCTTGGGGCGGATCAGTTTGGACACATTCCAAGGTAGGTCCAGAAATACCTTGATGTCTATTTAAATTACACACATTTATTATGAGAACATCATTTGAACGAGGGATTTAAATTAGGCATATTTCATTTGCAAATCTGCAAGGCTCCATTTCTTTGCTTTACCAGTCACGATTCCCTACTATGTTGATTTTTTTATTAAAATTATTATCCAATTAATAAAACTCGACTTTATTCCCTTTAGGTGACGTTGGTTCCTGTTTCTGCTGATGGGAAACTAGTCCAGACATTTATTTTTGTCACCGAACACCAAGTTCTGAATCTCTAGGTGGGATTTTTTTTTTTTTTTTTTTTTTTGGACCCCGTTTCTCCGTCATTTGATCAAATCTCCATCATGAATTACCTGCGTCGCCGCCTCTCGGACAGCAATTTCATGTCCAATCTGCCCAATGGCTACATGGGCGACCTCCAACGCCCTGAGCCGCCGCAGCAAAGCCCCGCAGTGTCGCCCGGGCCGGCGGAGAGGCGCCAGCCCCCGGCCCAGCAGCAGCAGCAGCAGCAGCAGCAGGCTGCAGGTGGGGGCTCCGGTTTCTTCTCCTCCTTATCCAACGCTGTCAAACAGACCACAGCCGCTGCAGCGGCAACTCTATCCGAGGCGGCGGATCGGGCTGGCGTCTCCAGTCACGGCAAGATCCTCCTGGTTATCGACGACCAGCAGACTGACTGGTAAGGCTGGAGCGCGGATCTGCGGCGCAGCGGCCCGTCTAGACAGGGAATGTGTGCCATGCAGACCAGACCCACTTTGGGTTGCAGGTGCATTAAAACTGGAAGGTCACAGGATGCAGGTGATGCTGATAAATGCACCTTATGTTCACAATGACAAAGCTGCATCGTGCACGCACAAAAAGCTCTGCATCATCAAATGCAGACAGACTTCAATCCCCTTGAACCAATTCTTATTTACATCAGCAATCTCCAGTGCATTTTATTTACACATAACCGAGAAATGGACAGAATCAGATACTTTTTTCACATCCACAGGGTATGTGCATTTGTATTAATCCCTTTTTACCCTAATACCCCTAAATAAAGTCCAATTCAACAAGATGTCTTCAAAAGTCCCCTAATAATTAAAGTGACTGCTTCTCCAATTGTGCAAATGAGAACAGTAGCTAATAAATAACAAAGAGCACATCAAACTAATAAGGGAGAAATCCGTAGTCCAAAATAAAAAAGAGTTTTGAAAAAAAATACCACCTAAACACGGTTATCTGGTGAGAGGAGCATTAATCACAGAACCTGCCAAGAGGCCCATACTACTTCAAAAGAAGCTGCAGAGCTCAGGTGTAGGAATCTTTTTGATGGGGAAACTATTAGTCATATTCTACTGCTAGGAGCCATTTTACGGATGAGTGGCAATGAGAAAAGAAGATAATCAACTTTAATCTGCAGGATCTTTGTGCAAAAACAAGCAATTTGGCTTTGGTTTTCCGTCGATTACATCATAGTCACTTTACAAACAATCCCACTGTGTAAAAATGCAAACTTTAAGGGGTAAAAGGGGGTAAGCACTAAAAGAAAAGAAGCTAGAAAAATATTTTGAGTTGCACACAAAGTATGAGTGGACACATGCTCTGGTTAGATGAAGTGAAACCTTTTGGAGGTATGTATGCAACAGTCCCGAGAGGAAAACCTGTTCAAAGCTGCAAGACTCTTGAGACTGGGATGGATGTTCAGCACAACAACCCTAAACATACATCCAGAGCTGCTTAGATCAAGGTATATACATGTTTTAGATAAAAACAAAAATGCATATGGGATTAGAATAAAAAGTGTTTTTATTATTAGCTCAGGAAGGCTGGATGCAGATGCATGCCATACTTTTCAGCTTCTTGATTTATAAAACAAAACATGCATTGTGTTACCTTAAATTCACAATTATCCACTCCTTTGTGTCGATTGTAGATAAAATCCCAGCAAAGTAGATTAAAGTTTGTGTTTGCAATTTAGCAATATGTGTAAATGTTTTTGCTGGGCTTTGTGAAATGCTATTTTCCCAAATGGAATGACACCTTATGTGTGACTCCACAGTCAAAATGAGTCACTATCACATTTAAATTTTAGTTTTTTTTTGACAAACTGAAGCTGAACTCTCAGTTCCAATTCAAAGTGTCACCAGTTTAAATGTGTTAAAGACAAATTTGCTCAATTTCAAAATGTCCTGCTTGAGCTGGAGGAATTACCATCTGTTAAATATCGGAATACTTGAACTGTTTCCTATGATTCACCTCCTTTTTTTCCCCTCATTCAGGGTGAAGGTCTTTAGAGGAAGAAAGATCCACGGTGAATTTGACATCAAGGTAGAACAGGTAGGTTTTACACCCTGTTCGCTTTTACTTCTGCAGGAGAAAAAAACCTACAAAATAAATTAAAACACACGTGATCACGATTTAAGAACTTCTGCATATTATTCGATGGTTTCTTCAATGAAATAGATGCTTGCTTTTTTTCATGAGATCAAAACGGGTTTGTGTTTCCTGATAAATGATGCCGCCTCTGATCTTTGTATGTCAAAACAGAAATAGGCCTCCTAGTGTATAGTTTGTTGCTCTTGGCAGATAAAAGCTCCAGCATTATTAATGAGCTGCCGTGTTCACAGAGAGGCTGGAATAATAAATCTCTCAGGGTCTGTTTCACTTTTGCGTAAGAGCAATACTCACCACTGCTTCAATGTTCAGAAAAATTCTTCTTTATTTGAACAACTAGTAATAAAAAGTCGTTGACCGAACCAGTAACTCACCAGTTATTGTGGCCCAGTGATCAATCGGGAGTCATTTTTCTCTAATTTGGAGCAGAATTATGTTGCCCGATAGTGTTTCTGGGTACAGTTTAAAGGCTTATTTATAGCTGCTATGAGCAGAAAACTCCCCAAATGTTTTCATGGTGATCTTCTCTGCTTCAGGCATTTTTAGCCGTGTGTATTTTGGTCCCTTTTTCTCTTAACTCTGACATAAGGTTCCTACCCTAACCCAGAACTTTTTGCATTTTGTTACGCTACAAACATACTTTATTTGGATTTTATGTGATAATTGAAAGTGAAAAAAAGAAGAAAACCAACAAAGAAACAAAGAATTTGCTTTCAGTTGCCCTCTAGAATGAGCTATTGATGCCTATAGAGATGCCTATACCAAATCTGGGTGGGAACGTCTCCAACAGCTTTACATTTATAGAGATTGACGTTTCATATTTTGTAAATTTTTATTCAGATAAGACTAGAGAGTTTTTTTAAAGATCAATCTTCAGGCCTAGATTATCATCTGTATGTGAGGTCTGGACTTTGACCATTCTATCCAAGTCATTTTTTTCTATTCTATTAATAAAGTAAAAGGTTGTCTATATAAGGAAACCCAGACGACTGCATCGATTTACTGAGTTTGCAGCAATCACTGACAACAATACTTGTCCACTGATGGTAAACATTTTGCTCCTTATTATAGACTTTGCAGTAATCCCTCACTTTAAATATGTGCAGCAACATTCTACAAATTATTATCCCCCTTAAAAAGATATAATTTGATAGGGTGGTCTGAAAATACAAAGCAAAGCTTTCCATGTTAAAGAAAATATGCAGCCACTTGCAGGTTTTCTCCAATTATTTTTCTGTATTTTCATCTTCTGTCCTACTTTGACCTACTCTCCTATTGCTGCTGAAGAACCCATACCCTTAGCATAATGCAGCCATCATCATGTGCCATTGCAGGCATGTCGTGTTCAGGTTGATGTGTTGTGTTAGCTTGTTTTCACACAATGAGTTTTGTAAATATGCCAAAAAGTTACATAAAGCTCTTTTCTGATCGGGTCCTTTTTCCATATGTTTGCCATATTACAGAGCTCACTGGATGTGAAACAAGAGCTTCCTTATTAAAACAAATAATTTTTCTTCCCTCTATTCCAGAAAGACTTGACATAGCTGTACCATCATTGTATTATCCTACCTTATTTGTTGATTTCTACAGCTCTGCCAAGGTTAACATGGGGTCTTTTGATAATTTTGCAGATGTGTGTTTCCTTGTTCTTAGGATGCACTAAACAGGAGTCAGTGATCTGACCTGTCTGCTGTGTTTTTTGGTCTTCACAACAGTATTTATTCACTCATGTATTCCAGATCTCAGATTTTGGTTTGTAAAATACAAGATATAAATGTAATCTTTTCTCGATTTCTTATGTGCTTCTTTTTGTTATTCTATAACTGACTGATAACTGACTTGAGCAGTTGTAATGTGACAAAATGGGGAAAAAATGTAATATTCTTGCAGTGTATGAGATTTAAAAAAAAGTTTCAATAACTAAAATCTGGTAATTAGTCTTCCTGGCTAAGTGTTGAGCTAATATTTATGTTCATCTACCTTGATCATGTAATTTCAGATAGTTTAGGAGAGTTTCACTTCGATGTCTTTCATTACAGGCAGAATTCTCAGAGATCAACCTGGTGGCCAATGCCAATGGCACCTACAACGTCGACCTTGATGCCATCAGGAATGGGCACAAGGTTACTAAGTAAGTCCTTTATAGTTGGGGGGTACCAAGCTGCTCGTCTTGTGATGTTCAGTGTTTTAATAATTTCCTTGTGTCTTTTGTAACAGGTCATTTAAGCCAGACTTTGTGCTGATCAGACAGCACGCTTTCAGCATGGACAGGAATGGAGACCATCGCAACATGGTGATTGGACTGCAGTATGCCGGACTGCCAAGTGTTAACACTCTTCACTCTGTCTATAACTTCTGTGACAAACCATGGGTGGTAAGTAGTCTTTTCAAGCCACAGCAAACAGATCCCAGATCTATAGTCAGCTAGAGCGGCATCTGAAGGTGAAATTCTCCCTTAGTTTGCTCAGATGTCAAGACTCCACAAGCAGCTGGGCCCAGATGAGTTCCCACTGATTGAGCAGGTTTATTATCCAAATCATAAGGAAATGGTGAGTTCTTTGAAATCTACTCCATATATTTAACACTATTTAATTTCTTTTTGGGATCAAGAAATATTTTTTTGAAGAATTTAATAATGGGCTCATAATAGGTCACATATTCAGGTTTAATTCATGTTTGGATTAAAATAGCAGCTTAGGTCAGTCTAACTTTGCGATGCTTGTTTATATAGTTTTGGTGTCTTGCTTGCAGAGGCAGAGTTTCTGATAATTGGGTTGCCGAGTCATTGTCAGGAGCATTGCACTGATATTGCTGCTGCAGAGCAGTCATCTGCAGCCGACCCCTGCAGTCCAAGGCTGACAGAACTGGGCTGGCTTTCAGGTCATTAGAAGGACTGTGTCTCTCTCATTTTCCTGAAACAATTGATGTTTTAATCATTACAAATGATTTACTATAAAAAAAAAAAGAATAATACTGTTTTCTTTAAAATCTGTTGAAAAGCAATAAAATCAAAGGAAAGCTTCTTTTAAATCCCACTTGAAATCTCCCAGACAAAATATTATATAGTGGCGTGCAGAAATGTTATCCCCTCTTGGCGTTTTTCCTGTTTTGTTGCCTCATTACTCTTACTAAGTACATTTCTCTATATACAAAATAAAAGAGCAGCAGACACTCTTAAAACATGAGCTATTACTTCTATTCCCAGACCGCTGTTATTAAACCATTCTATAACACTCAGACTGTGAGTTCTGCTGCATGTCGTTTCACGAATAATTGAAGATTTGGTTGATCGGTCTGCAAATAACTGCTAAACATTTTTTTAAAAGTACATCTCATCAATTGTTTGTTAACAAAAATTTCAAATCAGTCAATCCCCTGGCACCCATTCACTGCATTTAGCAGTTAGAACAAGACTTTTGGATGCTCAAACTGACCTGCTTTGATTTCCTTGCACAACCATCTCCTGTGTTTATAGCAGACAATCTGAAAATGTAAGGACATCCAGGGACCTACGGTTTAGTTGATGAAAAGGTCTAGTTTGTGACACAAGTCAAAAGTAAACAGGCAAACAGTTTTAGATGGTACAAAGACAAGAGGAGCTCATTACAACCATGGCTGGTGGAATTCCATCGGAGAAAACAACACATTGAACCTGGAGGTGAAACGGCTAGAGCGGTAGAAGGCCACGTCGGATGCCACTCCTACCACCCATAGCAGCAAACTGATGCTTTCAAAACAAACCTTTGGAAATGGTTTTTACAGTTCTACAGTTAAATTTTTAGATTGGATCATGTAGGAGTGACCCCATCCTAAACCTCTGCATGTTTACAACTGCCGGTCTTCACATGGTTTGTCCTCGACAAGTTCTCTTTCAGTAAGAATGCTTTCTAGGTTCCAGCATACTAAAGACTGAAAAAAGTTATGTTAGTGCAGCGTATTTGAATTGTAGTAGAAGAAAATAGGCTCAAAAAGGATAGAATTCAGCATTTTTTTGAGTCTAACTAAAAGAAAAATAAGGTGTTTATTTAGTGAGAGGATGACAGCATAGCATCAATGGTGATTGGTGGAAACAATCAGAGATTACCTTATCTGTGCTTTTTTCTTCTTCTTGATCAGAGCAATTCTGGAGCAAAACTGCCTCCAAACAGAGAAAAGACAGATCTGAAAAATGCTGTCTCGTCTTAAATGTTTTGATTTTAGGTCCAATTTCGTGCTAAAATAATGAACACCGTACTGTTATTTTGGACAGTTAGGCATAATTCTAACAAAAGCCTAACTTGATTATTGCTGCTGATATTTTCCATCCATTTGTGACCAACGCTCAGATCGTTATACTTCAACGATCTCCTGTCACCAGATGACAGTTCAGTGTAGCACGGATGGGATGATGGAAACATTTAAAAGATTCATATCAATGATGTTTAGCCTGGAAATCTGGAGTGACTGCTTGATGTCCTCATGTCAACATGGACCAAAATCTCAGAGGACAGTTTTCAGCATTTTATTGAATAAATCACTAGGGAATTAAGGCAGTTCTAAAGACAAAGGAGAGTCCAATGAGGTAAAGTGTACATAATAAAGGAACCAGTGGATGTAGTTTATATTTTAACCCTAAGCTTCATTTCTATTGTTTTCTCTATTATGAACCAATGTGGAACAGATTAGGACTGCAAGCCATTAACTAACACAGTTTTTTAATTGTAAAAAAAAATGTTTAAATGGCTTTAAAGTTCTAGATTTTGTTCTTCTTATAATGGTTTATTTTGCAGATCAGCGCCCCTCGGTTCCCTGTCGTTGTGAAGATGGGCCATGCTCACTCAGGAATGGGAAAGGTAGACTGATCAGGGCTTATTTCGAATTTAGAATATATTATTCACAGGGCTTATAAGTGCCATCTAATGTATGTTTTGAACTCTGATAACTAGGTGAAAGTGGACAATCAATATGACTTTCAAGATATCGCTAGCGTTGTGGCGCTGACCAAGACTTATGCCACATCCGAGCCTTTCATTGATGCAAAGTATGACGTCCGCATCCAGAAGATCGGTAACAACTACAAGGCTTATATGTGAGTCAGTTTCCTTTGTTTAAGCCAAAGCATTTCAGAATTTACTCTCACTCACCTCAATGAGAATGAATCATAAAACAACTACTGTGTTTACCAGGAGGACCTCCATTTCTGGCAACTGGAAAACAAACACTGGTTCTTCAATGCTTGAGCAGGTGGCCATGTCAGACAAGTAAGGACGTAGCCGTATGCTAATAAAATGCAAAAAGAATATGTCTTTGCAGGATAACAGCATTCCTATTTAACATGTGGTTGCAGGTATAAATTATGGGTGGATTCATGCGCAGATATCTTTGGAGGGTTAGATATCTGTGCTGTGGAGGCTCTGCATGGTAAAGATGGAAAGGACTATATTATAGAGGTACTTTATTGCAGTATGATTGCATTGATTATAGCATTTGTTTTTATCAGCATTTTGTTTATCATTTTGTTGTTGTTTTTCTTTCCTTTAAGGCTTAATTAGGCAGTTGAAATGGACCTTTAAGTAAAATTAAACAATATTATAACAAAAAAAAAATTCTCTTTTAATTTTTTTATGTTTTAAAACAGTAAAAACATCTGTGTGAATGTGCTGCTGCTGAATGCTAGTGTTTAATATCAAAGGTTGCTCTACAAAAAGCCTTGGGGCACAAATAAATGGCTGAGCCCCTTGTGCTTTTCTGAGGCAATGCTATTTCTGTGTTTCCTCTAAATAAGCACAGCCAGGGGGCAAATGAGATCAAGTATCATATTTTTAGTATTAGTTTATCTATGCCGTTTCATTTTAGGTTGATGACTGTTCGATGCCACTGATTGGGGACCAACAGGATGAGGATCGAGTTCAGATTGCAGAACTAGTGGTTTCAAAAATGCAGGAGACTATTCCACGTACTCCCAGTTCTTCCTCAGTCCGGGCTGCAGCAGGACAGCCAGCACAGGTGCGTAGACCGCAGGCTCAACCTCATTCTGCTACTTTCCTTTAATCATTTTATATGTATCTCTTTTTTTTTAATGGAAAACGTAGAGAACAGGTATGGCGGTGTGTGTTTGGCTGTAGGAGACCTCATTCTGCAGTATGTTAAATCATGGTTAGGTGAAAATTAAGCTCTGCAATCTTAAAGCCACCCTTTACTGACTTAAAACCATTAATATCCCTTAACTTCTTCAAATTTATCATGTTACATGAAAAAATAACAATGTTGTTAAATTGGATTGTGTATGCATTGCTGAAAGGTCAAAACGGGACCCGGTTGCAAGTCTTTTTGAACCATTTTCACGAAATCGGACCACGGGGCAGGACGTCGCCATTTTTACAATCAGTCTTGGAGGTACACAACGGAAGGCTGAAATCTTAGGTTTCCTACAAAACCTCCATTGTTAACCTCTTTTCTTTGTTTTTGACAAAAATATAGATCATCAAGAAAACAATGAACAGAGTTTTAACATCCCTACAAACAGCAGTTATTGGTAATTTAAGTAAAAAAGCTTGACATTAAATTAAAACTTTAAATCAAAATAAAAGAAATGAACAAAAATATTTAAAAAATGTGCCCAAATTAACCAACCTACAGTGCATTTACTTACTTACCATATGGATTGTAAAAATGGTGGCTCTCATCGGGTTTTCTTCCAGGATTGTTCTGTGTTTACCTTCATCCATTTTTTATTAACTGACCAGCCTCCTGTTCACTGCAGAGGAAAATGTGCCACAACCCTGCCTTTTACAGTAAAAAGAATTACATGATTATATGATGTTTCCATCATTTAATAGAACGGCCGCTTTTACACATCTAGAAAATAATAATGACAGTTTTTCATTCTTTAAGATCCTGTCATCCAAACCTCTGTGGCCTTTGCAAAACATCAGTATTTCTTCTCTATTTGAATTACAAACAGCGAGACTCTATAGGTGTGAGGTCATTTTGTAAAGAATATAAGAATAGAACTAAAGGGTGTGAAAATAATAATGCATGACCCATTTTAGCTTTGTTCCTAGTAAAATATTTGGACAAAAAAGCTAATTCCTAACTGAGTCATGGCTCCTTCCACTGAACACGTTCTTAATATGGAATATAGGTTCACAAATTAAGAAGGTAATGATTATATCCATATTATATTATATGTTATAGCCTTTCTATAATGTATATATTTAGACATTTTGATGGGTCGTTTGTTTGTCGTTTGTTTGATTTGCAGAAAGCAGTTTCTCCTCAGCCTGTCTCACAGCCAAGAGTACCACAGACTCAACAGCGCCCCTCCCCTCAGGGTAATTTATTATAATCTTATGATATTTATAATTTTTTTTTCTTTTAAACATCTAAACCTAAATAGTACCTCAGAATATGAACACTATTAATGGCCTATTTTGTGTCATATAGGTGGTCCCCAACAAAGTCCTCCTACGCAGCAGCGCCCCCAGCCTCAAGGCCAACCTCCTGCACCAACTCAGCCTTCTGCTGCCGGCCTGGGCGCTGCAGAGCCCACTTCCCAGACCAAGGCTAGCCAAGGCCCCTCAGCCCAAACCCGAGCTCCAGGTCAGGGCGCTCCTCAGCGAAGCCAGGGAGGCTCCCCTCAAACTCAAAGGCAGCAGTCAGTCTCCCAGCAGCAGAAACCTTCTGGTGGGGGTCCTGGCCAGAAACCTGCAGGCGGGCAGCAACAAAAACCTGCCCCACTCCCTAGACAGCAGTCACAGGGAGGATCACAGAAGGCCCAGCCGAGCCGCCCCGGGCCACCAACCACAACACAGCCAAGGCCTGCCGCTCAAGGTCAGGGCGGCCCAGGAGGACGCCCCCCTCTGCAGCAAAAGCCACAGCCCCCACAGAAGCCCAGTCAGGACAGCCCAGCTATGGGCGGTTCTCCACAGCTAAAGTAAGCAGCTATCCATGAGAATGCAAAACACAACTGGATCAGTTTCATCTCATTTTTACTTTTTCAGTCTCAAAACCGACACCCACTGAATGTTAAACCCTAAGCTTTGCCTGCACTGAGACATGCATGCCACACGTTAAACAGTCTGCTCACAAACAACCAAACATGAATGTGCATGTTGTAGTGGTTCTGACATTTGTCATTCTTACAACAGCAGTGTTACAAAATAAAACATAACATTAAAATCGCCTGGTGAGATTGAGAATCAATAAACCAGGCGGGAAAAGCTACAAAAAAACTAGGATGGTTTTAAACCAGTGTCCTCAGGGACATATAAGCCAGGCATACACTGTGCAATATTTTCAATCGTTGCACACAGCTACAGCTCACATTGTACGACGAAACTGCAGATTTTAAAAGTTCACAGCTCACGATGTTATGTTCTCACACTGTGCGACCCGACACTCTGACGCGATCTATCTACTCACACCGTACGTCTAAAAACCACGTTGGACTGAGCGCTGTAGTGAGATGGAGCTACTCAGACTCGTCTATCCGGAAGCCAAACGAGTAAAAAAAAATGGAAGTGTCGATGCCTCCTGTTAAATATGAAGCTCACTAGAGTAAAACGTGCTGCCTTGGCAATTTGTGCAATTGCCTAAAAAGAAAAGGCGATGCCGTATTTGGGAAAAAAACATGGCTGAACAGTGTGCCGGCATTGTGCGGTGCCCAGGGAGCAGTGTGGGGTTAAGGGTCTTGCTCAGGGACCCAAAGCATCAGTCCGTTGGAGTTGGGCTTGAACTTAAAACCTCAGAATTCCAAGCACAATGCCCTAACTAGTATGCCACATTCCCCTCACACTTCCTGCCATTATTAAGTTAATAACTTAATATTTAGCTGGTAAAACATTATTCTACACAACAGTTGCCTAAATTAGTCTAATCCTACGCTGAAAAGTAGACTCTAAAAACCCCATTGTAATTTTTAAAGGTGGCTAAAGTTAATATCAGGAAGTAGGTATTCATCTAAAAAACAAGCAAAAAAGTAATTTTTTTGTATTAGTAAGAAACACAGTGAATAAGATAACAGAATTGAAGCTTAATTCCCTGTTATAAAGCAAAGTGGCAGCTGTATGATAGTTTGTGAATTTACTTTGGGAATTTATACTGAGAAATCCGAGTGACGTTTTCTCTGAATCGATATCAGTTAATTTCACCAGTTGTTTTTAAAGTAAGGAAAAACTTTCAGGCTCACAGCATAGCCTTCATTACAGTTAAAGTTAAAGTCACATTTAATTGCTAAAAGTCTGTCTTGTTTTAAAGCCGTTTTGAATTTTTCAACTAACCATGACATTTTAAAGAAGGTCTCTATTCTTTATTTGCACATTTGGCCAATAATGGCCACTATTAGCACCATTATTGCAAAACAATGATAGTAAAACTTTGCTTTGCCGATTTTGTGCTTATTAAGACATTTTAAACATTTTGTCCTATAAACACAGAAATGTCGTACTAACTATGTGTTACATAAATAAGAAGAAACTATTAAAAGTCCAAGTATAAAGTTTTACTCACTTTCAATCTAAGTAGCAGCTACCTTGAACCCTAAAGTCAAAGGAAAACATCCTGTTTGCTGTCAATGCTGGCATAATTTCCAGTGGAAATTTACAATATTCAGATTCTGATTTACAACCTCAATGCTGCTTTGGGCCTCTTTTGTTTTATGCCTCAACATGTTTTAATTATTGAAATGATTGTTTCTGAAATGCTTCCTATGCAAAATAATGACACAAAAAACGGTTTTATGACACATGGCAAAAATTCAGAAAATGAAATATTTGCTGTTTCAAAATAATCACTGAAACGGTCAGAAACTTTCTAAAAGGTCTAGAAGGTTTACATGATTTAATTAAACCAAGACAACATCAATATTGTGAACTTTTTTTTTTACTTTGCTGAGCTAAAATTTTAATATAAGCTTCATCCTTAATTTACTTTCACCTTAACATTATTGATGATTACTTTAAGTTACAATAATTAGACACTCTTTTTTTGATTCTGCTTTTTGTTTGCAATTCTGTAAAACACTTTCATGATCAATTCCAGATGAAACACCTCACTGCACATCCAAAAGCCGTCATTCACTATTCATATCATGTCAATGCTGACTTGAAATGATAGTGTAATTCTGAATGACTCAGGAGAAGGAATGACCCATTTTTTTCCATTTTTTACTGAGACTCCCCTCCTCTTTATCCCTCTCTCTCTATATACATGTTTTTCTCAGCCTCTCTATACTCCAGTCTTCTCATTCCATTGGTTTGCTGCATGACTTTAATAGCCTTTCCTTCTCCTCTATTGCCATTTCCCTCTCTTTTTAGCAAATCCCAGTCTCTTACCAATACCTTCAACATTCCAGAAACCCCAGCGCCCCGAGCCAGCCTTAGCCAGGACGAGGTGAAGGCTGAAACCATACGCAATCTACGCAAATCTTTTGCCAGTCTCTTCTCAGACTGAGCTGGCATCAGATCCTCCCACCCCTCTTTCTTCCTCCGGCTGAGAGAAAAAAAACGCACAGGCAACCTGATGGACACCCATCTCCACCTCCCCGGAAACGAGCAAGGACCAACAGTATCACCGCTTTATGAGTGTGACATGAAAGCACACACACCTGACATCCATTTCCCAAACAGACAATATCTATTAGAGTGAACAAAAGGTAGAGTAGAGACGGGTGATGTGATGTTTCAAACATTTCTTGCCTGGCTTAAAGCTTAACTGAGTCATCAGATCAAACCTCACAAATGTCTGTGTATTTGCATGCAACAGTCATTACCTAAAATCAGAAACAAAGCAACACACAATCCTGCTTCCTCGTTTGTCGGTGCTGTAAATCCGTCGTGGTGTTTGTGGTTAAAAAAAAAACTAAAGGACTGTACAAATGTTATTGGGAAAATAGTTGAGCTTTTTTTCCTCTCTTCAGTAAAACCCTGTTTTCCTTAGAACTATTCCAACTTATTCAAAAACAACATTTCCTTTTCCTAAAAAGAACCGTTTGACAATACACAAGAAATGGTGGGTAGGTGGGGATTAAAACGATGTAGCAACTTAACCTAAGAGTAAATTCGCTAAAGCAACATTAAAAAGTAGTTTTATTTTATTTCTTCTAAGCTGGGAAGCCAACAGAAATATTATTAGGTGTGGCAGTGGTGCAGCGGAGGGGACGAGCTACGCAGGGTTAACAAAGACATCTGCCGTTATTATTGCTTTAAAGGTTGTTTGAAGTGTTAGATAAACCAATACTTACACCCAGATGTATATGGACTGTACAAGCTGACAAAACATGAAATAAAATCCTAAAATTAAATACCTTAAAAATAATAGTAAAACAGCATGAGATTAAAGATTAAATGTATCACGGTGGCATAAAGATAGTGTTAGGAATAACATTTGAAACACAATGAATGAAAAGAAACTCTTCCTCTTATTTGGGAAGGAGACTACAGATGGCATAAGAGAGTCTCTGCACGTTTATTCAGGATCTTGACACGTCTCCTAGAATATAGAGCTAGAATATAGAGCAGATAGGGTTTCATACAAAGATCAAGGTACAAAGAAAGTCAAAGTAAAGGAATCACAAAAATTCAACATCTCTCTCTCTATATATATATATATATCTTTTTGCTAAGATGCCAGAGAGTAATTGAGTTTTTTAGTGATTTTTCGAAGTAGCACCATATCCCACCTTATCAAATTCTCCGCTACCGCAACCTTCTGCTGGTCACTCTTATACTTTTTACACTTTTATAATTACAATAATCAATGCTTTGTTGTATCTTTTCCTCCCCTGGAATGATACTTTTTACTATTTCATATATTGGCATATATTTCTGTCAATATGGTGCTACTATGAAACCATTGTATTTCTATCAGGGCTATCGTATCTTGAAACCCTTACACAAAACCAGGCTTAGCTGTCACATTGCTATTGATAAGTTGAATTATGTTTTGCCTTTTTGACTGCATACTTGTTGCATTGAATGCTTTCATTTAGGTTTCAGATTTTAGTGTTATCCAGTATTAATGCAGTCACAAAAGTCGAAAGTAGCAAAAATCAAAACTGGTTGATTAGGATAAGAGGCCTGTGAAAAACTACAGGAATAGAACTCAGAAAATGTATGTACAGTATGTGTGCTGGTAATGTATTTTAAAACGTTATGTTAAAGAATCTTTTCCCTTTAGACCTGCAAAGCAACAGGGAATCCGATCAATGCATAATTGTCAGTTAAAAAAGGGAATAACTGCAATATAAATGGCATTTATAACAAATATATTGTTTTTACCTCTGGTTACCATGGTGTGTTTTGCAATTTATAAGGCAAGCATTATTGTTTTTCTTATTTGCTTGGATTTCTGGGGCCATTTGCAGATTTCCATACCCTTGGCAGGTCCTCATTTTGTGATCCCCTGCCACATTTCCACAACCCCCTAAAAAGTTGCTGTATCATGCACTCATGTTCGTCTTATTACTTGTGTTTTAGGACTCAATCAACAGCATGTAGCTAAATGTTTTTGATGTAAAGTATATTTAATCGATTGAGGGTTTAAGCAGAAACACATATAAGAACGGATGGAGATGCAGTCTTAATATTGTGAGAATTTACCACTTGAAAAACTAACTGTCCCAACACCATCTGTCTCAATAATGATTGTACAGTCTCCTTCCACTGCTCCCCACGGCGTTAGCAAACACTATAGATGTGTTCGAGCCGTTTTGACTGCTCACGGTGATGTCTTAGCTGCATGTCGATAGGAGACACCTGTTGCAGTTTCCGGCATATCATTTTGCGGCTTGTAACTGTGTCGTTACATGTAGTGGATTAGTCAGTAAAAGTAGCTTTATAGGTGTCGTGAGTGTGTCGTCACTCTCCCTTTTCTTCCATTCGTTTTTGCTACACATGAATGAAATGCTCTCCACCTTAAAAAAAAAAAAAAAAAGAAAAAAAAGAAAAGCAAGCCTTACACAGACAAGAGCGTTAGATCAAATGGAGCGGTCTCAGGGATGTCCACTTGATTGTGACTCTTGTGTGTGGCTGAGGGTCTTCCATTTTCAGGCATAATGTGGCTGTTGACAGATGATGAGGGACGTGCATGCTTTCCCCCCGCCCCAAAGTGAAATGTTTTGTTATTATGGATACTTTTGCACACATATACAGCAAAAATTTTACTTGAAAACAATGTCGTGCACAAATGTATAAAGTTTGCATCAGGTTTATTTATTGGGGCACTTAATACAGGAACAGCTCACTATTCTCACTCTGACCTGAGCTGCAGAGGGGAGCTGCATTGGCAGGTCTGGCAGAGAGGAACACTCTAAACATGTATTACAATAAATCTGACTGATTAAAAGGGTTCAGGTTTAAAATGTCACTCAAAACTTGTATCTGTTTTTGTAAATCTCAACAGCTGCTTCCAACACTGCTTCCTATTCTTTCATAGGAGCATACTTAGCCAAGGAATGTTGCTTACATATTATGAGACTCATCTATACGATAATAAAAGTGAAACCATCTAATGCAGGATATTTCTCTGCAGAAGTTCTTACACGCTTTCTCTAATCACTATGGAAATCCAAGTTGTTTGGGAAAACCAATTCTGTTTCTAGACGCTAAGCATGTCTTCCAAAAATAGTGATTTGCAGTTGGTGAAGAACTGAGTGATAGAAACTGAAGAATATGAATAAAAAGTGGTTCCCCTGCAGAATGTTCTCCACAATGCCTATGCTTATTGGTCTGTTCATGTTGCCACAGTGACCCCTTGTGCTCAACGGTGCATAAACATTCGAATGTCTAAACCAAATAGATGTGCTGTGAAGAGCTCTAAGCAAAGCAGATTACCACCTGTTCTCCCCCCCGCCGCTATTCGTGCTTGTTGATGTTAGGTGTGCCGGCAATTTCTCCAGTTTTTATTTTTGAAGTGTTTAGATGGCTATTTTTCTTGTTTTTGGCATTGCTTTTGTAAGATCTGTGAGGTTTTTTTTACATAATGGGGCTTGCAATGTTATGCATTAATTGATTCAGGGTATCATTTTTAAATTTCACAGCATCTGCACATATTGTTATCTGATTTATCGCCGTCTATCAGCAAGATCAGCAATATGTAAGAGTAAGCCATCATGTTTGGCATGGATGGTTATTTTTAAAAATTCACCCTTGGAGGCCTCCTTGCCATTCTGAGACATAAAACATGCCAGATGGACAGAATGAGCGGAGGCGGTAATGCAAAAGAAGTTTTGTTTTGTTTAGGTTTTAGATATTCAGCGTTTTTATTATTTTCCTGTGGCTATATTTGACTGTGAATGTACTTTTTCTGTTCTTTTCATACAGATGGTTTTATTGTTTACCTATTGCACTGTATAATCATTGTGGGAATATAAAATCATAACAAACATGTGAACGGGTGAAAACAGTCAGCCGATGCCTGCCATATTTAAATCGTTACACCCTAAATGTGAACAAGTGCAAACTTCTGAGGTTTTCTCGTCATTACAGACAAGATGATGCATCGTATAATTCATGGTGGATTAAATTAAGTGTAAAAAGAAAATAGATGTTATATGCAATATAGCTATATGATGTGAAAAAATACATATGATATTAAAACATGGACGTACCCAATAAAGTCTATGACCAAATACTGACATCTTCTTTGTGGTGGGTTATTTTTTGGTTATTTATGCAAAAGCTGAGCAAGGAGCTGGTGGACCACTAATAATCATCTTCAAAAGAACATGTTATCAACTCCACAGTAAAGAAACTAATAATAAGAGGGTAATTATTACATATAAATCAGAAAATTTGTATAACTGACCATATGCACAGGGTTTCCATGATGTGGAAAAGTAACCCAGGCTGAACGAACCTCCAACAACACAAGATCGCTGTAATGGTGAAGATTATGAAGCTTATGCTGTTACCTGAGGTATTTGGTGAAGTATCTTTGCCTTATCAGCTATGGAGTGAATTTTGCTCCATTATTGTTGAAAACAAGGAGCACATTATACAAACGGAAAACTGAAAAGAATATGTAAGACCTTTTTGACCATGTATTGGAATCTGCTATATAATGTAGTTTGTTGCAGCATGAATGTCTGCAGCTCTAGGAAACAGTAAGATGAGCATTGAGGGTAACAAAGCACTATAGGACGGGTTCTCAACCCAATGCATAATGCAGGTAGTGGGAGACTAAAATACTCTTATAAAAATGGAAACATCTTGGAAATGTCTCCCACCGCATACTCCTTCAGGGACAGACTACAGCACCTAAAATGCAGAAAGGAGCATTATTGTAGATCCCTCTTTCCAACATTTTTTGGCATTTTATAACCATCATTGTTCCAAACAAACTCAATGAGAGTTTACACCACTGCTGTTATTTCCCATTTTAAAAGTTAAAGATGCATAGGGTGCATGCTAGCACACTTATCACCATACCAAGTTGCTTTTTTTATTTAAGTATATTACATTATTTATTGGTGTAGATCTTCCTAAACCATACAGTCTCCTATGTTTATGTTTTGCATTTTTCTTACTTTTATGTTTATCTGTATGGTTCCGTGAACTATGGGACAGTAAAGGATATTCTATTCTATTCAAACTAAAACAGTCTGGAAGCTGTCTCCCCCTGGGGGTCATTGGCCACAAGTGAGTTACATCCTGCACCCTGGACAGGGTATCAGTCTGACTGTTGGAGGAACCTCTAATACCTGGAGAGAAGCAACGCATTCATGGGGAGAACATCCAAACTTAAGGTAAAAAGACCCCTGGCTGGGATTTCAAAACCAGATCCTTCTTGTTGCAAAGCAATTGTGCTGCATGGTGTAAAGCAAAAGGAAACATGACTAAAATAAGAAACAATTCCACCCCAAACTGAATTAGTAGCCCTTCACTGCAGCTGTAAACCAGAAAACCATGAAGCTAGCAATATCGAAGCATAGAACTCAGAAAATTCTTTGTTAAATATATGGTTCCCCCTAAATGTAGCTGATTTTCAGCTTCTCTAGCCACCAGGAGTTGGTCAGAATCAGGCCTGTTTACTCTAGCCTCATGAGACCATCAGGATCTCGCAAGCTTTCAAGGTTTCACTCGCAGATCAGTCTGGAGACTCTCCGTTAAAGAAAATTTGGAGCCGTTCACCAAACGAACGTCCAATCAGCGTTGGCTTTGATGCAGGTTGAGGTATGACGCAACGAGAAGCGCAACAGTTCAGTCTAAAGAACATGGCGGCTTCAGCCGATGAAACTAGCGTTAGCGTGGCTATCGAGCAAGTTTTATTGGAATTAGAGTATTTCTTCATTGAAAGAAGAGCAAAACAATGCTCTTGAGGCTTTTCTCAGAGGAAACGATGTTTTTGCTTTGGTTTATTTGGCCCGTCTATCACCAACATAGGCCAATCAGTCTCTGAAATGATAATCTAGTCAGATGTTTTTCACTTGCACAGCAGTAGTCACACAATGCATCAATGTATGACAGAGATGTTGTCATTGCTGTAACACGTGTGTCATGAAATTCTAAGAAATATTTTGTAACCATTCCTGAGAGCAGTGACACATAGCTCTGAATCTGAAAGAGCTGACTAAAAACAATAGTGTTCTTGATTCATTTAGATGTAAAGAAGATTCGCTGTTTATTGGTCAAGTTGGAGCAGAAATTTCCGGTGGTGGTATTAATTTTTTTATGCATCATTGATCTTTTTTTTTTTTTTTATCTAATCGTCAACAATTAAATTTTAATTGGACCATAGCTTTCTAAATCAACATCTAATCATTTATTAAGCACCTATGGATGAATTATCACCCCAACCTATTCCAAAAAAAAAAAAAAAAAAAAAAAACATCTACTGGACTTTCTTTCCAAGTTTAAAGATGTTTCCGAAGACATTTCGCTTCCCATCCAGGAAGATTTTTTAAATTTTTTTTTCTTTTTCTTTTTTTCCAATTAAAAAAAGCTTTCTGGATGGGAAGTAAAACCTTCTAATTTGGAAACAAAGTCCAGAGGTTTTTTTTTTATTTATTTTTTTTACTTTTTTGGAATGATTATGACCTGGATGACTGAGAATCTTCATCAGCACCCCTACCTGTCATCATGAGATACGCCCACAGTGATAACTACAGCAGGTAAGATATTAACAGTTAATACACTAAAAAAGAAAGAAAGCAGAATTTCAAATGTTGCACTGTCGCTTTGAGGCAAAGCAAAGCATTTTAGTAGACAAGAAAGGGTCCTGTACATGGAAAAAAAAACACACACACACACACACCACAGCACACTGCAGTGACATTGAGGTAATAAAAAAACTATGAATAATGAAAAGGATGAAAACAAAGAAATAAAATTAGATGATTATTAAAAACTCTAACTTAGGATGATGTGCTCAACTTTCTTAGTTTTACTGGCAATGCTGGCAGCATGAAGTAGTTTCAAATTCCTTCAGAGACAGTAGTGCTTTAATCCTGTTGATGCTCTTTAGGTGATAGAAGGCTGACTTTATTACTGTAAATGTGTACCTCCCACGTTTTAACTCAAATACCCAGATTTGGGGTCTGCTTGGTAGTTAGGGGTAGGTTTCCCAGTAAAATAACAATATTCAGAGTTTGATTACCTTTTAAACAAAAAGTAATTTTTTTCCAGATAAATTCACATGAACACATTTGTAGTTTAGGAGAGATTGTCTGTTTGGAACAAACATGCTCTTGTGTGGCATTCAATAATGTAGCGTTTCTTAAAGTTAAAAAAACAAAACAAAAACCATGTATGATAACCTTAGAAAATAAACACAGCTTACTACAGGGCTAAATAGCTCCTAATAGTTTAGTTAAAAGCATTAGCACACTCACCACAAGGTGGTGCAGCCTCCTGCAGCACAGAATTATTCTCATTACTTTGGGTCGAAATGTTTATTTTCTTATTTCAAATTAAAAATTTAAAGCACTGATACCATTGCACATCCTTGTCAGATTTCATGAAGGGCTTATTCTGATAGAAAAATAGCCTTATTTGTGATGCTTTGGGGTTTCAGTTGAATTATGTCTCATGAAAAAAATTATTCATTTCCAGGTAGTTTTGACTCAGCTGGTAATCCCATAAATTTGATGAGAGCGACACAGATGAAGGAGATACTAATGAATTTGACGTGGCAAACATATTTGGTAGAACAGTGGCCTGTTTCTAGTTTTATTATGTCAGATGGTATATTTTGGTCTGACTTTCCTTAAGGCTTTAATTCTAAATACAGCAGCTGCAGCTGAGACAGACTAATAGTGCCATGTGCGACAACCCCCCACCCCCCTTCAAACACTCAGATCTCTAGAGCCCTGTTCTGCATAAACCAATGGCACTGTCTATAGACGAAACAAATGCAATAAAATTTAGTATTTATCTTTTCCTAATTAGGCATAACAAGTGCTGTTATAACCATCAAATAGATCCAATTCTACGTCTATTATGAGCTTAAATGCAAAGAACTGTGCAAACTATAAGTATATGAATATATATATATATATATATATGTATATATGCTCACTCTGGAAAGGTCAATGCTTTTTTTGTGCTCCATCTTGCTGCCTTGCATTTTTCATGCGGGAAGACTGTACTGTTCTCTCCTGACAAATACAGGTTTTGTAAGTGAGCGGGATGCTCATCCAACCAGGAGAAATTTTCTCTCCTACTGTCTTATACCAGCACCAGAATGATGACTTTAATATCTTGGCTGAAGACCACAGGGTGTTTGTTTCTAGAGTCTCAGGGCTTAGAAAATCCATTCATAAGAGAGTAACACCAGGCAGCGTTGTGTGTAATATTGCTGATACAGATTTCCTGACTTTGCTGGTTACAAACCGAGGGTTCATGGATAATCCCAGCAGTAGTATTTTGTTCTGTTACTGGCGAAGGAGGAGATAGGAGAGGAGGGGTTGGAGGGGGCATCACGACTGTTCCTCAGAGCCAGGATATTTGCAGAGCTGACCCATTTAAATGGCCCAGGGAAACTGTGAGTACAGGTGCATGTGTACGGCTGCAACCGGGATGTTTAACTACATGTATTAAGACTGCATTGGTTCAAAAATAGAAGCGGGTGTCAACACCGATATGCACATATAATTTGATGGGTGACTGGTGCAAACTGCGCAAGTGTTTTTCAGATCATTACCACGTGTTTCATTCAAGCACAGAAGATAACAAACAGCCTTAGTTGTTCTTTCTGGAAGGGACAAAGAGGAGACGTTACATTCAACTCTTAAATTGCAGGCTGAAGAGGCTGTTGAAGCTTTTATATGTGGCTTACAGCTCTGCACAATTAGTGCAACCCAGTACTGCTTTGCATTGTGCTGCTGTGTGGTGGTCAGTGAATGATATCCATATTTAGAAGGCCTTCATTGATTCCCCCCCCTCCCCCCCCCACCGGGGTACAAAAGATTTTTTGTCTTTCCTGTCTTGAATAGTGGGACCTTAATGACAATCCTGCTTAACAAAACCTCTTCCCGACCTCAATCGGTGTTAGAAAACTGCAAAGTGAGGCTGCTGGCAGCTCTAAACGGACCATTAC